AGTAATATAAATCACACCGTCTCCGCAGGGGATTAAAGTTAATTGTAGTTTCATGAATTTAAACAATCCATCAATAAATACCGCGTCCTGCAACCAGAGAAATTATTGTTAAGATTCGTCGGGCCTCCAGCTGCACGGTTTGCGACATATATGTATCAATGAGACTCTTGTTCATTCCCAGTATGCACAATCTCTGGGGTATAAACAAGCTCGAGAATGTTCATGTGTTCATTTGAACTTAAATTTATCTTTTTTTTGTACTTTGCCAATTTTAGATCAATTGATGGCATTTCATGTAACTCACGACTTTCTTCATCATAGAACAACATTTCCCAGGATGCACTGAGGCTTGTTGTGGAATGGTGATATGAGCCACCAACGTCAATCTTTACATTGGTTTTCAACGGCAATGACGTGTCAATGGTGACTCCTGATGAAATTGATTTGACGGACAGACCAACAAAGTCAATTGCTGTGAATGAAATTAGAAATACGATTAGACAAAATAAATAAATTCATACCTGATCCATAGTATAGCATAGTTACACATTTAAAACAATATCAAAATACTATCAATAATATGTATTTCATGCTTTGAACAATGAACACAAGTTGTACGTACAATATCACTGACACGCCTGATAGATATAATGTGCAAGTATCACGACGGTTAATTACGTCGATTAATCTAGTTTACACTCTGAGAGATAATTTTAATACCTTTAAGCGTGGCATAATAGGTGTACCCGTCTCGTAGTTGTAAACTATGGGCAATAGCCCAATTTGTAACTCCAACATCAGTAAAGTCTTGAACGTCCATACCTCCGAGAAATGATCCTGGCAAATACATTATAGATAGTTTGGTTCCTCATTCAACATTGTACTTTGCAATAAGAAGACCGAAAAAGCATTAACATGTACCTAGTGCATATTCATATCTTTGAATTCCTGAATCATGTGACATCTGAGCTCTTGACTCTTCGATATCAGTAAACCCTATCCAATTGATGTACATGTGTGATGTTGATGTCTGAAAAATAGAAATACGGGGTTTTTAACTTCAACTATGTGATTGATTTCACGTCTTGAGTAGTATCTGGTCTACGTATTTTCTGTGTATTCTGTATAGGCTTATGGTTCACATAAACTAACCTGATAGTGGTGTCCTACTCTGTTAATCCAAACCGTGCCGGCCTCAGGTGGCGTCCAGTCAACGGTTATACCATCAGAACATTCAGATACCATGGGGAGTATCTGCAATGTGTCTTCCTTTTCTATATGCGTCTCATTTGCATATAAACATATGTAATATCTCCTACCATACTCAAGATCTAGATTGTCGATGTTAACGAAGTTTTCCTACAAATAGTAATGTTGGATTACATGTAAAAATACGTAGCAAATACGGTACTATGGAGTAGTAGTATTTGAGATCAACTAATCCAAAAGTACCTTAGTAAAACCACAAGACAGAACTTCGACGGATCCACAGGAGTAGGTTCCATAGTTTAATTCTGTGCTGGGTTCAGCATACGCCCACCTATCAATAGACTCATCCGCAACAACCTTCCAAAGATACTTATATTGTCTTAGAGTTGGCCAAACAGCAGACAATTTATGTTTCGATAACGTGTATTCAGCATCCATTTCATTCCATTCATCATTGACAGCAAAGTAGATATCACTGTGAAGTTATTATTGTGATATAAATTTGGTATATTAATACATGTTACATTCATTGTGCTGTGAGGAAAATAGAAATACAATGGTAATAACTCTATTGAAAAGGCTTTAATATCAAATATTGCAATACAGGATACTTGTTATTCATTTAACCAACTATCCACACAGTTTCCACAGGTGTCTCTGAGAACCAAATATATTAAGTGAGAGTAGGTAGCTAGTACGAATTGTATAACCTCGGTTTACTTACTCCACATCGCCCTCATCATTCCTGTCGCCAACGGCATCAATGACTGTATTTGGAGTAATGTACTGTGGATAAATCGATTCACAGTCGTATATTTCCTTGTAAACTGTAGAGTATAAGCCAGCTTTGTTGTTTCCACGTATAGCCAACTGTATACACTCTGTGAAGACCAGTTTACTTTGCAGTAGGACATGGTGGGATAACTATAAAAAAAATTAAAAAATGTAATTATTAAACATATACTGCAAATTGCTCAATCATTTCCCGTGGAATAACTTTGATTTTGTTTATGCCTACTATGTAAAGAGACAGAATAGTTCTTCACATGGGCAATTTTACATTTGATGCAGTCTATTTAAATGCCAATCGTAGAAAAAAACTATGATGTACTATTAAAATTACATTATCAAGACACAGTTCGAGTCTGCTAAATAAATATATATGTCATATCAAGTTAATACAATAGACACACATACCTTTCCATCTACATTTACAGGATCGATAATTTCTTCCCAAGTATACAATAAATCTCCGTGGTTAGATGTTTCAGAATCTACAGACAACGTCCATTCATAATATGCCATGTATTCACTGCTTTCAAGACTAGTTTCAACTTCGATATTGATGAATTCCACCCAACTAAAACTTAATTCTGCTGTATCCCTGAATTATATATAACATACCTTAGTCTTCTTTATATTGAATCACCTCCTAGATATTTTAATGATATTATATGACAATATATTGTATATACTCACTCGATATATTCAATATTCTCAATGCCTTCTGAAATCGGTGGAAATGGAATCACCCAAAATCCATCACTAACAATCGATTGAAAACAGCCTTCTGGGTGGCAGAAAGCTATGGTTGTCCTATAATGAGCACCTGGACTCAAGTCCAAATTA